ACATTTTTGGGTCTACTGTCTACAGGCAGTTTGGCCTACACTGAATAATACAGACAAAATACTCCAAGTATGAGCCAATGGAGTGGTGGGACAGAGAAGATCTCCCCCAAATCTGTGTATATATATTCTGTCACACAATTTTCATGACTAGCCTTGGCAACTGACTCTCGAAAGAGGTTCAAATAATATTTTATTGGGCTTGAGATGGTCATCCTTTTTGAATAGGTAATTCGTTCACATGGTTCAATAAGCAAAATGTTATGAAAAGATACATGGTGCTCACTCTCACCCCTGCCCCGTCTACCTATTTCCTGTGCCTCCCCTAACACACAGAGGGCTCACTATTTTCATTAGCTTCTCGTGTATCCTTCTAGAGTTGCCATTTGAGTTGTTTCCACTCTTCTTGTTACAGACAGTGCAGCGAAGAATAATCTTTTCATGAGTGCAAGAATAGCAGTAGGCACATTTCTATAAGTGAGATTATTGGGTCAAGAGATAAACGCATTTCTGATTTTCATGGATGTTTGCTCCTCCCCTTTGAATCTGGTTTCTGGGAGGCACATTCAGGCTGGCACCTTGGGTTTCATTTCTCTGGCGTCTCCTGACACCAGTTGAAGCATTCAGTTGAGCTGAGAGAATGTGACCAGAGCTCAGTCTTGGGGCAGTATCTTAGAACGCTCCAAGGTGGGCGCTGCAGTCCTTCCAGATTCCCTGAGTCTCTGCCAGCCAGAGGTGCTGTCTCTGTGCTCTGTTCTCTTGTAACATGGTGCCCATTAGAGCTGTGAGTTGTGAGCTGTTGTTCCCCATCTGTCAAATGGGGAATAGAGCCTCTCTGGCTGCCACATGGTGGTGGTGCCACTCACTTGAAGCGATGTGTATGACAGAGCTGCGGAGACTGGGTAGAGCTGGAGCTCTGGATGCAGACCGTTTGGGTTTGATTCCTGACTCCACCTTTCCTGAACTTTGTGACCTTGGGCAGGCGTTTAACCCCATGAGAAGACCTTAGTTTCCTCAGCTATAAAATGGGAGAGTTAATAACAGAGGATTATCTCTGCTGCTGTGAGGATTGTAGGGGATAATGTAGGTACAACATTTAGCTCAGTGAATGGCACAAAGTGCTCAAAATGAATATAAGAGTTAAATGATCTAGATGAGTCAGCAAGCATCATTTGTTCTTCTAATTGGCATTATACCCAGCCTTATGCATTTTACCTGTCTCTTCATGCAAACTGTGGTTAAATGAAATTTATAGGCCACCAGAAAGTTCCTAATTTTTGTCACATTTACTCCTCTGATCACCTCTTCTTGATAACAGACTGATCTAGGACAGCATTGGTATATTTCAAGTGAAGGCTTTTGGTTCGAGAGTCAGCAGCTCAGACATGAAATAAACTCATAACCCAAAACAGTGATAAGTTCACAAACAAATGCCCCTTTCCGTCTTTTAAGCTGTTTTTCAATTTGGCCAAACCAAGTGACATTTATGCTGTGTCATTGAAGCACAGAGCAAAATTGAGAGCAAAGCAGTTTCTAGCACATCCGCTGATTTAGACAAACGGACTTTATAGGTTGGTGACCAGAGTGGATGAGCTGGCCGCAGTTATAGTTCTGAGAGCCATGTCATTTTCACAGAGTAGATATAACCTTAAGTCCTAACCAAAGATCATCTTTTTATCCTCAGAATTTAACAGTGTGCTTGGAGTGTAGTAGGTGCTCAATAAATATTTATTGAATGAATGAATGAACCAATGGAGAAAGACTGTTGGTGAGTAAGAAGTAGAATACAGGAGTAAATTCGTGCTTTTGGAGAGTATCAGTTTTCATTCTATTGTTGGCTTTACTTCATGGGTCGTTATTTCTTCTCGCCAAGAGTTGGTTTTATTCAATAACCAGTATGCATTGAGAGCTTACTTTGAAGGCCTAGTGCTAAGAGCTGGTGGGCATATAGGGGTCACTGATTCTGTGTCATTTATTTAATTTAAATTAGAGAACGTTTTTGCCTGGCAGGGGTTGAGATGTCATAAGTTGTTTGACTCTGTAACAACTTTGCTTCAGAATCCTTATTGACTTTAGAAAATGCAGCTCTGAACATTTTCTGCCTGTTATGATTCGGCTATGAAAATTGTCATCAAATAGAAATGAGAATGAAACACAAGAAGTCCAACCAATAACACAGGCAGGAATCTGAGCTCAAACATTCTACTGCTGTCAGACATCCCACATCATCACAGGGAGGAGGGAGACAGGAAAGGAGTCAGTGAGAGAGCCTGGCTCTCCAAGGGCTTCCCCAGTGCCCGTGGCCTCTGCCCTGACCCGAAGTCCTAGCCCCACTCCCTGCTATTACATTGTCAACAGTTAAGTGCAGCCCAACTCAGTCCTTTTGAAGGCAGAGACCCACTCACCTTTTGAGACAAGACATGAGCGTGTTCTCAGCTGCCAACTGACTTCATGCTTGGCCACCCAGTGGGACTCGGTAAATTGGATCTGAGCACACATGTTATGGTGTGACCTTCTGCAAACGTGGCCTGAAGTGAGCACCCCGCCTTCATGTTCATAGCTATTATGGTTTATATTTAAATGCTACTTGTAGGATATATTCTTTTTTATTTTTATTGTTTGCTTGTTTATTTATTCTTACCGTCCTTAGACCAGAAAGCATGCAAAACCAAATTTTCTGATTTGTAAACCCCTGATTTAGGTAAGGATGATGGATTCAAAACCGCCCCACCCCACTGCCTTTGAGCAGTGGGCATCTTTCCCTAATAGACAGAAAAGGAATAGGTGAAAGGCTGTGGAGAATTCTGCTACCAACACCCACATGCATATGTCTCAGCCACAAAGGGAAGTGAGCAGCCGTCTCTTATTAAGAATGGACTGTGCCAGCCACTGTGCTATGTGCTTTATCTACATAAGCTTAGTTCTTACAAAATCCTTCAAAGAAGGGGTCATTTTCTCATTTCATAGATGAAGAAACCAAGACTCAGAGACGGTGACTCATAACAGACCACCCAGCTGTGAGCGACGAGGAGATGTTAATTCCTTCTCGGGGTTTATCATCCAAGTCAGATACTATAGACTATGGGCCAGATCTGGCTTTCCTTGGCATACAGTATTTAAAAACAAGTTAATTTACTACATTTAAAAGCCAGAAAATTTCACAGAAAAATCTAAGCTTTGGGCTTCTCTTGAAGAGCATCTAGCCACATTGGACCTGCACACTTATATGGTACAATTGGCACAGCGGTGGCTATTCTCTCAGGTAATGAAACCCTCCCTAGGTTACCACAGTCCCATTTGGCCCACATTATTTGTATCCTCTGCCTGGTCCCTTTGCCATTTGAGTTTGGTACCCTTGATCCGGGTTTCTCTATGAGTAATGGTAAGGTATGTGGTACGTGGTGGGAGTGATGTAGGGATGAAGGATGTTGAGGCAGAAGACATATTCTAGGATATTCTGGAACAAACTCAACAATCCCAAGCTGTATTAACCATTTTGAGCTTGGATAGCTTGGGGTCAAATGAAGGGGCCACACTCACTGGTCTCTAAATTTCCATCTAGTTCTAAGTTTCTCTCTAGGCCTTGCTTCACCTGAAAAACCATATTTCCTTATTGTGAGTGGGTTTGTCATAATTGCTATTGAAAGGTGACTTCATTATCAAGGTCACCAATGAGCAGTAATCTTGAGTTGATACTGATCAGCGCTGCTAAGTGTACAACTCCAGGGTTCCATTTTCACAGTGTTGTATGTGAATGGTGCCCTCTGGAGTTAGGCAACATGGCAGCCATGCTGGTGGTGTGTGCCACCATTCTAAATGGATAAAATAGTTAAGACAGTCTTTCCTTAGGGCCTATTAAGTCTAGGACAGCAATGTAGACTCGGAAAGGATATAGACAACTGAAGAAATGCGTTAGTCACGTTTATGGAGTGTTGGACTACAGAAAAAGGAGTATGTAATGCAAGGATTGGTATTTCAAATTTGGGTAGGATGAGATTGAAGGTTGTCACATTGCTTATCACTCTGGAAAGCTGTCATGAAAGAGCCCTCTGTTTACGAGCTGATTAATAGTGAAGGGAAGCTGCCAGTTGGGCTGGGGTCAGGGATAGGAACGAAGGGAAAGAGAAAAAGCAATATTTTCAGGGAAAAGTCTTTTTCTAAGAATTTTTCCTTCCATATTAAAAAAATTTAGATGGAGCATTTCTTTTGGCATGAAGACAATTATTCCAAAAAATAGATTGCTACTTTGTCTTTATTGTCCCCAAATGATTTTTAAAAATCTACATACTAGGAAGATTTTAATGGAATATTTACATGTGTTTTCTGCTAGTCTCACATTGTTTTCCACCAGCCCAGGTAATCATCAACCTGTTTTTTAAAAATCCAAGTGTATTTTCAATTTCAAGTGTAAAAGAGAACAAAGTCAAGTATTTTACGAAGAAAGGAAGAATATCCACTTTTAGCCAATTTATTCAGTGTCTTGGGGCCATGTTGACTCATTGGGCCACATTAGAAGGTGAACAGTCTGCTTAGGATTTGCTGCTGTGATGGGAGTTTTTAGGTGCTCAGACCCTGGGACACTTGTACACGTCTAGTCAATAGATGCACCTTAGGATTCAGCCAGACATGTTTCTCCTGCAACACGGCGACAAGAACTTTGTACAACATACTGTCTGTCCTCTTCCTTTCGCACAGACTCCTGATTCTGCCATCTTCTGCTTGCTGTAAAAGAATCAGCCCATCTTTCCATCCTTATACCAAGCCAAAGAACACAACTGTGGAGAAGGATAATGAATCCTGAAGAAAACTTGAGTTTTGTAGTTATCCTCTTTTTTTTGAGGAAGATTAGCCCTGAGCTAACATCTCCCACCAACCCTCCTCTTTTTGCTGAGGAAGACTGACCCTGCGCTAACACTTATGCCCATCTTCCTCTACTTTATATGTGGGATGCCTACCACAGCATGGCTTGACAAGCAGTGTGTAGGTGCGCACCCAGGATCCAAACTGGCGGACCCCAGGCCGCCAAAGTGGATCATGAGCACTTAACCACTGAGCCACTGGGCTGGCCCCTTGAGTTTTGTAGTTATTAGTGTCCCAGCCCATCCCCTCAGAATTTGCCTCTCTAAGACAAAGGCTGCTACTGTGACGTTTGTGAATCTCTGCCTGAGGGCTATTTATCCGGCCCTGGGAGCACACAGCCTACATGCAAGGCAAGCCAGAAACCCCACGTCCTGGAAGCAGCCCTCAACCAATCCTTGATAAGAGTCGGTGTATAAACACCCCAGATTCCCACTCCTTTGTAAGAATAACTCTGGCGTTATATCCTATGCTGGCTTCCTGAGGTCCCGCCAAGCCTGAGCTCCGCCTATTCCAGCAGTAACTGGTTTGGTAACATTGTTGGCTGCCTTCCTTCCCTATCTCACTCCCTCACTCTGTTTCCCGGATTACCTCCCAAATCAGCTACTTGCACTCAAATCTTTGTCTGAGGATCTGCTTTTAGGAGAATCCAAACTAAGACATCTATTGAAAGGATAAAAGGGAAGCCCCAGAAGAAGCAGGAGCTGATGCTCATTATAACTGTGAAAGGGACATGGATCGGACAAATTTAAAGGGGGCAAGGGCTGAATCTGGTGAGTTTGGAACTCTTTATAACCCCCTCTTTTCTCTTAGCCACTTTGTTGAAAATGAGGCCTTCTATGTTTATTAGATATTAGAAAGGCCATAGTAAAAATTCTGATGCATGGTTGTATAGCTCCTAGCAGAAAGCCTGGCATGTGGTAAGCACGTAGAGTAGTTGCTGAGTTCATGAGCATGGATGTATCAGACATGTTTTCAACTAACCCCCTCAGTCATTTCAACATGCATCACTGTTGCATCAGTTCTTACTTCCACTATTCATCCTGAGCTGTCTGGTTAATTTTTTTCCTAGTCCAAATGGAGGTCTTTACCTTCACCCGTATTGACCTTTTTCTTGTTAGATTTACCATATTTCCAGTTATTGGGGTTCTTCTGGGTGCTGGTTCTTTCACCTTACTATTGCTGCTGCTGTGCCCAGCTTCATATTCCCCATAGTTTTCCTCACAACATCATCTCGGTCCTCATCCAAGGCACTGGGACAGTTCTTAACCAGGAAGGAAGTTAAGAACCTGGGCAGGAAATCGTGCGACCTATGTCACTACTTCCCTTTATCTCAGGAGTTGCTGTCTAGCAAAGAGCAGAAAAGTGCTCAAGCTAGCTTAAGAAAAGGAGGGTTTGTTTTAAGCACTCTGGGAAATTTCATGCACTCTGATTTTGCTCTGCCATTTGAGCGCTCATGGTTTCCTATCTCTGCTAGGGGGACTGCTGCATTTGTAGCCCCACAGACTTGTAGCCCGTGCAGACTTCCATTTCTGCTCATTCACTGGGGCTCATGGTGAGCCATCATGGCTGCCCCCAAGGAGTTCCTTCAGACCCCAAGCCCACTTGGCCTTCCAGCTCAGCTCCCTATGTTCATATACTTTGGACTGACCTAGTTTGGTACAAATGTCCACATTTGTTTCCACCATCTAAGGCCAAAGGCAGATTCATATTGTATAGCGAGCTGCTCCTGCAAAATTGTGAATGAGACCGTTTCTCTATGTTAAGGTAAAACAGAGAAGAAAATGATTGCACTTATCTAGGATTCCTCCAAAGGCCCAAAATGCCACCATAGACAAGAGGGTATTCATGGGGTAGATTTTGGAGACATTAGCATTTCAAGGCCACACAACCTTCTAGGTAGGCCTGCTATGTGATTCTCTCAGAAGATGGAGCCTAGGGCAGCCAAATGTCTATTGGAAGCCTACTTTTATTGGGAAGGTATTTATTTATTCACTACTGGGGAAAACCAACAATTTCCTATTGTCCTATTCTGATTTTAATTAGAATATTAATCAGCTATGCTCTGCACAATTTTAGCTAAAACTCCACAATGCAATATGCTAAAATTCCTAGGAACAGAGCCAATTTAATTCATATTAGATATTTTGCCCCAGGTTAGCATTAGGGACTTATTATTGCATGTCTCATGCAGCTATTATTATTATAAATGTGTATATTGTACAAATTAAAATCATATTTCATTCAGGGAAAAACCTCTCTGTTTGCTGGAGTCCTAGTGACTATGTCTCTGTTCCTGAGGGAATTCAGTACTTGTGCCACCCTTCATGGTAGATCTAGCAAGGAACTGCCTCTAGGCACTTAGCCACTTATCACTTCTGGAAGGACATAGTTTACCCACTGCTTCAGTGGCTGCACTGAGGACACAGAGGAGGACCAGATGATGGTCATCACTGTGTTTTTGTTCAAGGAGCTTTCAGCACCCACAATGATGTAGGATAAATATTATTATGGGGAAGTTGAGGATACTATGATATATTTGGTCATGTCCCAGCCTTGTCTAGGAGGTCAGGAAAGTTGTCTGGAAGATAGGATATGTAAACCAAGACCTGACGGTTGAGTAGGAGTTAAACAAGGGAAGAGAGTAGGGTATGGGAAGAATGAACTACAGTACAGTATGGCTGCATTATAGAGGGTGGGGTGAGGATTGGCAAGACTGGAACTGGAGAGCTAGGGTGGGGCCAGGTAGCAGAGAATTTTGAAGGCATAGTATGGAATTTTACCATAAGGACCAATGGGAAGCCAGTGAGGCTGTTACTAGAGGAGTGATATGATGCGATTGGAATTTTAGTAGAATCCCTCTGGCTAAGAAGTGGAGCATGGGTTGGAAGAAAATAACAATAGAAGCAGAGACATTAGTTAGGAAACCATTTCCATGATGTAGACAAGAGAAGATGATGGACTGAACTATGATAGTGGCTATGGAAATTGAGAGAAGTGGATGGACGGAGGGGTTATTTGGGGGGTGGAATTGACAGTTGGTGATGATTGACTAGATGTGGGGGGTGAGGGGGAGGTATGGGTCAAAGAAGAATTCCAGATTTGCTTGAAACATCTTGGTGGATGATAGTGCCGTTTACTAAGAGAGAAATATGGGAGGAGAAGCATTTTTGGAGTGGGATGGGGGTGGGCAGAAAGGGGATAAGTTCAAATTTGAACATAAGTTTGAATGGCTGGGAGATAATGCTGTTTTAGAAATGTTGGATATATGGGTCTGCTCTTCAGGAAAAGAGACGTGGGTTGGGGATAAAGACTAAGAAGTCTCAATGCGGGGATGGTCTTTGAAGCCATGGGTTTTGTTGGAGTACTCCAGGAGAGCATGTCACTTGAGAAGAGAAGAAGATGCAAAATAGAGCCCTGAGCAACAACCTGACAGTAGAGGAAGAAGGGCATGTAAAGGAGATTGAGAAGAGTGTGTAGAGTGGCTGGAGGGAAACCAGAAAGCACTGGTGCCACTTACATTTACGGAAATGTGTAATGGAACTGAGAGGGCATGGTCAACAGTTTCAAATGCTAAGGGCTCAAATTAGATGGTTCCCCAGAGAAGCTAAACTCAATTCCCTATGCCTATAACCCCAGAGTCCAGTAGCCAAAGATTTTAGCCCCTACTCACCACTGCATATTTATGTTCAATTTCTTGTCCTCTTTATCTTTTTTTGAATTTAAATATAACTTCATAATTAAAAGAATTGTATCTAGTATCAATAGGTATTCAGTGTAGTGAGTGCATTTCCACTGGAATTCTGCCACTTTGATTAGAAATCTTCATCCAGATATATATAATCATTGCTTTTCTGTACTCACTGATTTCACAGTCACATAAATGTTCATATTTATTTAGTAGCTCTGTTAAAGTAGTGGTTCTCAAATGAGGTCCCTGGACCAGAATCGATAGCATCATCTGATGTGATAAGCAGAATTCTAACATGTTACCCAGATTCCTGACTCCCTGGGGTACATGTTCTATATAATTCCCTCCCTGTGAGTGTGAGAGGGACTCATGAATATGATGGGATATCACTTCCATGATTATGTTATAAGGAGAAAGGATTTGCCAGATGTAGTTAAGGTCACTAATTTGATCAAAAGATTATTTGGGTGGGCCTGACAGAATCACTTGAGTCCTTAAAAGGGGCTGGGCCCTCCCTGAAGGAACAAGTTCAAAAACTGAAATAAATTTCTTCTACTGGTCTTGAAATGAAAATTGATATATTGTGAGAGGGCCTATGGAGAGGCCTGTGGTAAGGATCTGAAGGTGACCTCTAGTCTCTGGCTAATAGCCAGCAAGAAAATAGGGCCCTCAATTCTGGTCTCCCAAGGAACTGAATTCTGCCACCAGCCACCACTTGAGCTTGGAAGAGGACCCTGAATACCAGAATGGGGCGCAGTCCAACTGACACCTTGATGCCAAGGCCGTTGTGGGCTGTCCCTGAAGGTCAGGGGCTGACAGGTCATCCCCTACCGGGCGGCAAATGCACAGAGGCCTCTGCCTTGCTCACCCTGTGCTGCACACATCTCCCTGTTGTCCTTTCTTCCTCCTCCTGCACCTGCCTGGGTTCCTGGGTCCCTGGTAACCTCCTGTCACCAGCACAAGGGCAACCAAGGTCCCACACTTCACCAAAGAGTCTAAAGAGTTGAGTGGCCTCTGATCATTCAGTCCAGACACAGGCCCTGACTGAGGACAAATTAGACCCAGCCGTGAACGAAACCCACTGGAAGGAGGGGCAATGGAATTCGTTTAACCCCTCCTGCCTCAGTTTCCCCATGCAAAATTAGAGGACAAGAATGGTCCTTGATTTGGTCTGGACTCAGACCTGCCTCTGCCCTTCCAGCTGTGGTCCTCACGCCAGCCCCTTCCCGCTCTGAGCCTCACGGCCTCACCACGTTCTGAGCAGCAAGTGAGAAGATGTAAACAAAGGGCACATGGAAGCCACAGGCAAAGGGCCCTGTGGAGGTGAGTGGTTATTCTTCCAGAATCTAGTTTTACTTGACTGAGACGCGTTCTCCAGGCGCCGTGACATTTTTGGCAGCACAGTTTAGTGGTTCAGGAGTGTGGCTCTGGAGCCAGACAGCATGTTGAATCTCGCTCTGCTAGTCACCAGCAGCAGCATCTCGGCAAGTAGCTCACACTGTGTGTTCCCCAGTGTCCTCACCTGTTAAATGGGTCAGTAACAGAACCATCTCAGGGGTCACGGTGAGGATTCAATGAGTCAATGCACTTAAAGGCTTCAAGCTGTTCCTGGTAATAATGCCTGCCCTCAGAAGATGCTAGAGTGTGACTCTCGTGGTGGGGTGGGGAGGAGGTGGGAACAGTGACCAGGGAGGCATCCAGGGAGAATAAGCTGTTTCCTGATCTGGGTGCTAGTTTCACAGGTGTGTTCAGTGTGTGAAAACTCATCAAGCTGTATGCGGAAGATAGGTGCCTTTTATCTGTATCACGTCTTCAGAAAGTTGTCTTTTTTTTTTTTTATTAGTGCCTGGGAATTAAAAAATTCCTGGGAAAACTCCAGACTTTCAAAGGCTGTGAAATTGGTGGGGTCCAAGCCACATGTCCAAGGGGTAAAGGGCTTCCTGTGTTAGAGGAACCCAACTTATCTGTGCTAGAAGTAGAGTAAGCAGAAAATCACACTAAGATATAGATGTGATATGATGATAGGACAGGGCTGGAAAATAAGAAGTCCTAGAGGGGCTGACCTCATGGCATAGTGGTTAAGTTCACATGCTCTGCTTCAGTGGCCTGCGGTTTGTGGGTTCGTGAGTTCAGATCCCAGGCGCAGACCTATATACTGCTCCTAAAGCCATGCTCTGGTGGCAACCCACATGTAAAATAGAGAAAGACTGGCATGGATGTTAGCTCAGGGACAGTCTTCCTCAAGCAAAAATAGGGAGATTGGCAACAGATGTTAGCTCAGGGCCAATCTTCCTCACGCTGCCCCCTTATGGGGAAAAAAAAAAAAGAATCCTAGAGAAGTGGGGAGGGATTTAGAGGCTCAGGAGAGTGGTGGGACCTCTTAGGCTGGGTGGTGGGGGTGAGGGGTTCCCTCTCCCATCCTCAGGAACTTTGTGACTATTAAGTCATTCCACGGTGAAGGTCTGGAATGCTCTAGAACAGAATACACATCTCAGTGCCCATTGCCTGAGGCAGCAGTGTGCTTTAGATGATGGACAACCATCTCTATCTCCTTTTCCTGAGGAAACTTAGTGAGACATGGAGCTTCAATTCCATTTTTAAAATTTCCATTGTGTGATTGGGCTTCTCCCTCTATCATTCTTCTTCCTCTAGGGGAACCAATTGCTGCCAGTCTTCAGAATAAAGGAGGCATCAACCAGGTAAAGGAGTCAAGGCCCAGACCCAACAAGACTGACTTCTGACTTTCCTGTTCCTCTTTCCATCTTGTAAATCAATTCTGTTGGCAGTGAGAGACATCTGAGATGGGAACATTTAGGAGAGAATAAAATTATCCTGTGGGAAAGGTTTAGAATGGGGACCAGGTTTTATCTGAAGCTCACAGACCATCTTTCTGGGTCTGATGGAGGGCTCTGGGGTGAAATCCAAACCACAGTAATTCAGTGGCTGTGGATGGATTGAGGTAGTTCAGGAGACCTGAAGGAGGATAGTGTTCCCCAACACTTCTTCAGCAGCTGCCTTCCTATCTTAGGTGTCTCTGGTATAAGTGTTTCCTTTGTGTTAGGGAAAAACTAAATGGCAATGTTGAACTTCTGAAAGCCTCTGGAGAGATGCCAGAGCCCTCTGTGTCCAGGAGCTTCATCATCCTACCTGATGAAGCATCAAGCATTGTAGGTCTGAGGCTTCATGCCTGTCTGCAGCTGAGGACTCCCAACTGAAATATCAACAGAGGATCATGTTCAGAAAACCTTTCTTTGAGTTTTTCAAAGTAAAAATAGGAAATATTTGTATCTACTTTAAAAGTGAATGTCTTGTACTTCCAATTCCAAACAAGATGGAGTAGAAACATTTCTCCCTACTCTTCCCAATAAATACAGCAGAAAACTCTGGAAATTATAAACAAACTAAGAAGGCTCTGAAAGATGTAGAAAAGAAGGTAGATCAGCCAGAGACCTCAGGACTTGAGAAACAACATAGCTGTGAGTTCCCTGGGTTTTCTTTTTGCCTCCTTACATCCCAGACTGCCTGCAGCTCAGTTCACATGTCCAAAAGCTGGAAACCCAGAAATGTCAATGGGTACAGACAAAAAGAGGCCCAAGTAAAGCTATCTCTCTTTAGCCAAAGGACATGAAAGGTACAGCCTGGAAGGACAGAAAACTCTTTGACAATAATTACTCTCATCCAGATAAACAAACCATACCTCTTCCTCACACCCAGGAAAGGCTAGTGGAGAGACTAGACTTCACCCTCACCTGGTGCTCTCATCACTCTTATTCAACAAGTACTCAAAGTCCTAGCCAGTGCAATAAGCAAGAAAAGGAAATAAAACGCGTACAGATTGGAAGAGAATACACCTCTCTATTTGCAGATGACATGATGGCCTATATAGAAAATTTCCATAAATCTACAAAAAAAAATCTAGAACTAATCCATGAGCTGAGTAAGGTTGCAGGATACATCAACAAACAAAAGTGACTTGTATTTCTGTACACCAGCAATGAATGCATGGAAATGGAAATAATAAACATATCATATATGATTCCTTTAAAAAAAGATGTATTTAGGTATAACTCTAACAAAGCTTGTAAAAGACTTGTACACTGAAAACTACAAAATACTAATGAAAGAAACTGAAGATCTAAATAAATGGAGAGACATACCATGTTCATGGATTGAAAGACTCAACACAGGAAAGATGTTACTTCTCCCAATTTATCTATAGATCAACACAATTCCTTTAAAATCCCAGCAAGTTTTTTTTTTTTTTTTTTTGTAGAAGAGACAGGCTTATTCTAAAATTTATATGGTAAGACAAAGGAAGAAGAATAGCTAAAACAATTTCTTTTAAAAAGTGAGAGGAATCAGTCCACCTGATTTTAAGACTTACTATATGGCTACAATAATTAAGGCAACAGTTATTGGCAGAGGTGTATAGGCACACTGATCAATAGAACAGAATAGAAAACCCAGAATCAAACTAACTGATTTACTTTTGGGGCTGGCCCTGTGGCCAAGTGGTTGAGTTTGCGGGCTCTGCTTTGGCCACTCAGGGTTTTGCCAGTTCGAATCCTGGCACTGCTCACCGAGCCATACTGAGGCAGCATCCCACATGCCACAACTAGAAGGACCCACAACTGAAAATACACAACTATGTACCGGCGGGCTTTGGGGAAAAAAAGAAAAAATAAAATCTAAAAAAAACCCCACAAAAAACTACATTGATTTTTGATAGAGGTGCAAAAAGTAATTCAGTAGAGGGAGGATCATCTTTTTAACAAATGGTGTTGGAGCAACTGGATAGCCATAGGGCAAAAAAAAAAAAAAAAAAAAAAAGAAGAAGAAGAAGAAGAAGAAGAAAACCTGACCTAAACTTCACACCTTGTATAAAATTTGACTTAAAATGGGTTATAGATTTAAAGGTAAAACATAAAACTATAAAATTTTTAGAAGAAAACATAGGAGAAAATATCTGGGACCTGTAGCTTGATGAAGAGTTCTTAAACAGAGTACCTGAAGTATGATTCATAAAAGAAAGAAAATTTTTAAATTGGACTTCATCAAAATTTAAACTTCTGCTCTATGAAAGACTGCATTAAGAGGATGAAAAGACAAGCTACATGGAGAAAACATTTGCAAATAACATATACGGTAAAGGACACATGTCTATAATATATAAAGAATCCTCAAAACTCAACATCTTCCCAATTAGAAAATGGGTAAAAGGCATGAAGAGATATTTCACTGAAAAGTATATACAAATGGCAAATAAGCAGATGAAATGATGAATACCACTAGCCTTTAGGGAAATGCAAATGAAGACCATGATAAGATATCACTATATGACTATTTGAAAGCTAAAATTAAAAAAAAAAAAATGACGGTAGCACACACTGGCAAGGATGCAGAGAAACTGGTTCTCTCAAATTGCTGGTGGGAATGTAAAATGGTACTGCCACTCTGGAAAACCACTTGGCAGTTTCTTAAAAGTGAAACATACAGTTATAGAATGACCCAGCAATCACACTCCTGGGCATTTACCCCGGAGAAATGAAATTTATTTCCACACAAAAAGCAGAACATGAATGTTCACAGCAGCTTTATTTGTCATAGCCCAAAACGGGAAACAACCAAAATATCTTTCAGTGAGTGAATGGATAAACAAATTGGGGTACATCCAGGCCATGGAATAGAGCAAACTATTGATACAATTTTGATGGATCTCAATGGCATTATGCTGAATGAACAAAAACAATCTCAAAGGGTCACATACTGTATGATTCCATTTATATAACATTCTTGAAATGACAAAATTATAGACATGGAAAACAGATTAGTGGTTGCTAGAGGTTAGGAATGATGAGTGGCAGGAGGTGGGTATGATTATGAAGGGTTAGCATGAGGGAGATCTTTGTGGTGATAGAATAATTCTGTACCTTTCTTGTAGTGGTGGCTACAAAAATTCATGCACATGATAAAATGACATAGAACTATACACATACTGTGCCAATGTCAGTTTCCTGGTTTTGACATTGTACTATAGTTATTTAGCAAGTAACCATTAGGGGAAACTGGGTGAAGGTTCATAAGACCTTTCTATTTTTGCAACTTCCTGTGAATCTACAATTATTTCAAAATAAAAAGTGAAAAAATTAAAATACCCAAAAGTAAAATATCTTATAAGTTCACGCTGTTACCATCATTTCAGATTTAGGATTACAGAGTAAACCTCACTGATCTGACATCTGTGTCTCCTTTTCTCCACACCAAACAACCTGATTCTCAATGACACCATCATGAGTACCCCTTCCCTCCACTTTTTTTTACAATACACAGACTCAGAGTCTGTTGGGTAATAATACCAATACTCCCATCAACAATGTGACTACTGAAAGCAATTTAAGAATTTTGCAAGTCTTTCTGTCTTTAAGGTATATCTTACTAGGGATGTACCGGTAATTAGTTTAGATCACTTAGAATATCTTCTCTCAAGATCAAGCTACCAAAAGATATACATATACGTTCATTTGTTTAATTTTGCTTTTAATTTTAGGGATTGTATTTTTAAAATTTAACTTCATTTTGTAATTATGTAAATTCTGTACGTAGATTATGTTTCAAGTCAAATCCTCAAAACTAGGTAGAAGCCTAGATTTTTGGGGGGGAAGATTAGCCCCAAGCTAATATCTGCCACCAATCCTTCTCTTTTTGCTGAGAAAGACTGTGCCCATTTTCCTCTACTTTATATGTGAGATGCCTACCACAGCACGGCTTGATAAGCGGAGTGTTGGTCTGCACCCGGGATCTGAACCAGCAAACCCCAGGCCACTGAAGTGGAGCACGTGAACTTAACCACTACCCCTTACTGGCCCCTAGAAGCCTAGATTTTTATACCTTCTGTTCCCTTCTGTCTATAGGTAACCATTTAAAAAGTTTTATGGTTCATCCTTCCATTTTAAAATATGCATTTTCATATATATGCATATCTTTATATCCACCACTTCTTAGAATCTATACAAACTTAACCACATTGAAATTTTTACTTATTTATTGTGGTAACTACTTACTTATACCATACATTTTTGACAGGTGTATAACACTCCACTGTGTGGATATACCATTTGTTATTCCCTCACTTTTCTATTGATGGGGCATTTACATTTTTCTGGTTTTCTGCTATTATAATTACAACACTGCAGCAAATAGTTATATGCACATATCTTTTCTTCTTATTTTTGCCAATGTATCTTTGGGATAGATTCCTAGAAATGGGATTGCTGGACAAAATGATAATTGTTATAGATATACAGATAGCTTTTGATTCATTAAAAAATAAAACACAATGAAACATGAAAGTGAAATGCAGAATTTCACTTCTGTGAGGATGACCACTAATTTTGACCCCTTGGTTCTTCCTTAGGTGGTGGAATGTTCCCCATCACAGGGGTGGGTACTGCGGCAGTTTGGAAGGTGAGCCTTCTGCCTGCCCCACCAACCCCTGGATGATCTTTGGGTAGTGAGCTGAATCAGGAATGCAGGTGAATACCTCTGGTGGTGCCGAGCAGGGTACCAAGTTATTTCTGGGACTGCTCTGCTCTCCAGCCTCTTGGGGAAGTCCAAGCTCTACTTGTGCACTGACTGTTATCCATCTCTTGATGTAACGGGACTCCTCTGTGTCCCAACCATCATGCTCATTCAATACATCCACCCTAGGAAGAGAAGATTATTAGGAAAGTTGAGAAAACTGAGATTCAGAAAAGGTAAGTCTCTCTTGCAAAATGCCATAGCTAATAAATGATAGAGTCAGTTTCAAATCGTGGTCAGTAGAATATTCTGGAAGATGATGGAATAAAGGTGTTTCTCTGATCTTTCTGTTTTCCAAAAAATTATCCAAAATCAACAGGGAGAATAAGAAATAGAAAAGTATGAAACACTTGGAACCCTGAATCACAAAATGTCAAGTCAGAGAGACGAGAGAAGAAAGGTTCATGGCTTAGCTAAGGGAATGAAACTTAAAACCAAGTGGTTTCAAGGTGTGTGTGCATGTGAGTGAAGGTGTGCGTGTGTGAGTGTGTGTACGTACACATGCCTTGCTGGCTTTTGTCATGTAGAATAGGAGGAAGGCTCGGATATGGGGGTGCTGCAGGAGCTTTAAAATGCTGAGTGAGGTGCAGCCCTGGAAACAGGAGTTATTTGAGTCTATATAAGAAGCAGTTAGATATCAGATTCCCATCCCATGTCTGCAAGAGACCTAGAATTCGTTCTTTGGCAAACTGAGCCAGAGGATAGGAGGCCAGGCTGGAGAGGAGAGCTATGTCTTGGTTTGCTTTAACAGGAAGTCACTGGGTGATATCTAAAATGGGCAAATCTGCACATAACAGCAAATGCATCTCATTTGGAGACATAGCAGTAAAACCTGGAAAAAAATAACCCAAAGTATTAAAAATGATTGCTTCAACAAAAATAAATAAGTGGTGAAATTGGGAACAGAGGAAACCAGGAGGGCCAGGTGTTGATAGACATTGAAACTGAATGACAGGTACATGGAGAGTCATCATACCATTCTCTCTACTTTTGAGTATGTTTGAAAATTTCTATAATTAAAGAGTAAAAATCAAGGGCCACCGTTGTTATTATTATTATTAAAGCACCATTTGACTTTTGAAGCTGTTCACCAGGAATATCCCGATGGCAGAACAGCAGCAAACCTGGTTTGTCCACTCCCTAGTCTACACTCTCAATACTCTTAAACTAAGCAAGACAGCTGAGGTGATGGAGGAAGCCCTGGTTTCTGGGGTGAGACCTGGAGGGCTTTGAGAAAGTTGCCCAGCCTCTCTGGGCTTCGAATTCCTTATCGGTAAAATTAAGAGTGTGGACCAACTCCGAAGTCAGTAATACTAGGATTTAGCAGGGTTGGAATAGACTCTGGGAAAGGAATGGGACAAGGTGGGGGAGCAGAGTGTATTAAAAATTTTGTGAGAAAATGAGGGTTAAAAAAAGTGAAGATTTGTCGCTGTCAAAGAATCTTAAAAAGAATGGTTTCCACTTTTCCTTATTTTCTCCTCTAGTGCTTTGTAATCCTCTTCAGCCAATTTAGAAAATGCCCCTCTATGCTCTGGGAGGATTATATTCAACAGGAGCAACATTTGATTACATGGAGGAGCTTAGCAGGGACCAGTGAACACCACCGGTGACAGTGACTAATGAAAGAGCAGGGCCGACAGCGTGTGAATGGGAACGAGTGTTGTGTGGCTGCGCTTCCACTCTTAGTTAAATCGAAGGGCCCAATTTGGTCTGCTGAACAAACATATTTATGGAGGTTTATTGAACACAAAATTAATTTAGGAGACATTAATCTAAAGAGAACTCGACTGACAGCAACTGTGGTGGTATTTAATGGAAGACAGAGTAAAAAAATGAGCCAGCCCTGCCACAGCCCTTCCTTTTGTTGAGAAAATGTGAGCATCCCCAGGGCTTTAATAGACTCTAATCCTCTCTTTTGAACAATACAGCCTCCAAATAGACCAGTGAGCAAAATAGAATCCCGAAGAATGCACCGTCTAAGACATAACGGTGCTGAAGTCCCGTTGGCTTCAGGGCGAGATGCCGGCTGTGCACGGGCACATCTTCTCTTCTTGCTTTTGCTTTCTTTCTATGTTTGTTTGGGTTGGGGTTTATTTTATGTTAGACTGTAGCCTGGCTTCTCACAGTGTGGTCCACAGACCGACACTGTCAGCATCACCTGGGAGCTTGTTAGAAATGCAGACTCTCAGGGGCTGCCCAGACCTGCTGAATTTGAATCTGCATTTTAACCAGATTCCAGGCTATTCATAAGCACTTTAGAGTTTGAGAAGTTCTATTTCATAAAGTTCCCTCCGTTATGAGGGAAAAATGAGAACAACCTAACTTCAGGTAGTCCAGAAAACCAAGAACTGTCTGAACTTTTCCCCCTTCCACATGATGAAACTAAAGACCAGTGCAGAACATTTGGAAAAAAAAATACAGAGAAGTACAAAGGAAGAAACAGTCATCTGTAATCTTGCAAACCCAGTATGAAGACAATGAACTTTTTAGAGTGTGTCCCTCCTGTCTTTCTTCTATTCATATTATGTGTATTTTTAAATGCAAAAATATAATCAATCCTTCATTCGTTCATTTAATCATTCAACTTATTGAGCACCTAGCAGGCACTGGGTGCTGGGGATACAGTGATGAACAAGACTGATAAGGGTCGTGGGGAAACCAACATGCAACCATATGTGACTTAACCAGAGCCATACCATGGAGGGGACCCCTCTGTTTCCCCTTGCCCAATCTCTGCCTTCTTGTTCCCTATGTCTTTGTGTCTGACCCTCAGCTCCAGAGAGACAGGGATGGTCTCCCCAAAATCTGTTCTAACTGGCCTTGCCCTCACCCAGACACTTCCCCTTAATCCCCATTCCTCAGGGTCTTGTTAATTATAAGATTAGCTAATGTTTATTGAGTACTTACAGAGTGCCAGTCACTGCCCTCAGTGCCTTGCATGTATTGTCTCTTATCCTTGCAACAATCCCATCAGGTAGATTATCAACCAAGGTCACCCAGATAGTAACTGGCAATCAAACTCCAGGGCTAGCCCTGAGCTGATAACACTGATTCATGCTAGAGTGTTAATGGATAATAGCTAACATGTGTCTGTCTGTGCATTTAATAGGCAATTATCAGAGAGCAGACAAGATTCCTTAACTCAAAGAAATCGATCCCTAATTGTAACATTTTAGGAAGAGAGGGAAACCAAGTAGGGTGGAAGGATGTTAGAAGAGGGTCTTCCATGTATGCCCTATTTCATATCATTTAATTTTTTGGTGATCTTGTTACATTATGTTGGCTAAATGGGGAAACAAATATCAAAAAAATGTTCCAGTTACTGAGTCTAAAAGCCCTTTAAGAAATTTGACCTCCCGCAATACTGTCTATTTTAGATTCCCAGCCAGGCAAATGTTGTGGACCCCAGAAGCCTCCTACTTATTCTTCAAGGCTCAGCCCAGAGACTTCCTGCTCCTTGAAGTCTTACCCATATCAACAAGGCCAAGCTCCTTTTCCCTCCTTGTTGTAACATGCTCTTCCCACTACCTAGTTATAGGACGCTGAGTCTGTGACTTGTCACTCCAAGCCTCAGTCCCGTCATCTGTAAGATGGGAATGATCGCAGAGTCTACATGACAGGACTGTATCAAAGGCTGCAGGGGATATGCTTAGCTGCCTGACCAGCACGTGGTAAACACTCAGTAATGGTATCGATTGTTCTTTTCACAGTACAGCTTTTTATCTTTTTATTTGCCTGTCTATCTCCCCTTTTGGGCTGTGTTTTGGATAACAAGGGCTGTGTCTTACTCATTTTTATATTTTAAGGAGCAAGAACCCAAAATTGGTGTTCAGTGAATGAAAGTACTAGTAGAAAAGAAAAAAAATCAGTACCTACGTTAGGCAAGAAATGAAGACAAGGATTTCATTTACGGTAGCGCCTCATGCTCCGGGGCATAGAAGCAGAAGAGGACAATTCGTGCTTATGGAGGGTGTGAGTAAATATGTTACATTTCCAAATGTTTCCAACGCATCGATAAAAATTAAGTAAATGTCCAGTGATCTTGCCTCTGCCTTTATATTCGTGGCCATTGCCAGTGGTTTGGTATATTCTTCAGTGTGAGGCTTCATAGCTATAGGTTTAAGTAGAGCTTGTCATTGGTTTAGGGAAGATTTAAGCTGATCATTGAATTGGAAAACACCTATAAAAGAAGGTTAAAGGTCCAGTACTAGCTGATATTAGAAGAAAAAACGTTTAGAGCAAATTGATATTATTACTAAGATGATAGGAAAATTGTGTGTGTATATGCGTGCATACACAAAGAATAGTTTTCCGTATCTCAAGTCATGTTTACACTGATTTGGGTATAGACTCATCTCAGTTCCTCCTACAGACAAAGCAAGAGGACCCTGGCAGTTTGGGGCTTTAGATCTGCTCTAAGGGCTTTATATTTGACTTAAGGGATTTAAGTTAGTTATAAACAATGGTCATTTGAGACCATCTTAAGCTGTTATCTGCTTCCTAAGTTATAGAGAAAGGTCTAGGAGTAGTCTTTACCTGAATTTATTTTTTTAAATATAAGAGTTCCTTTGCTATAATAAAAAATGCTGGTTAATGAATTTCTTGGGGAATTTTATGCAATAAAATATGAACAGAGTACACCTATAAATTAATTTCACAAATGTCCCAGGTTATTATTAGCAAGGGAAGGCCCATGTTTCTCAAGGGCCTAATAATGGCCTAGAACAACTTTAGACCTCTAGAGATTAAATAACAGTACTACTATAATTATAATGTTAAATTTCTCTGAAAGGCTCAATAATAATTCTCTCCCAGCTTCTGGTTGAACTCTCTGGCCTCCTCTGACTGACAGCAGACCTTGGAATGGAGAACTCTCCCTCCAGATGGTCACTCTGATATGGTACCAGTAGCCTCTGAAGGCTGGGGTCATGCCCATTGCTCCAGCTTCCTGTATTCTTAGCTTGCAGCTAAGCTGCATACTTAAGCTTTGTTTCTCTTTAATTTGTTTTTCCTCTTAGCACAACATTATTTCCTTTGTTGGCCACAACTCTGAACGACCAGTGCAACGGGAAGTATGTTCAGAGTGTGCTACCCTGGCCAGATCCATCATGGCTGCCCCACTTTTCAGTCAGTCTAACCAAGATCCTCCCTCAACACTCTCAGCCATTGTCTAGTGGTCTTAGACCTCCTAAAGGGGACATGGGGAGGGAACCTCAGGCCAAGTCAACTGCAGAAAATGCATGGGTCCCTGTTCATTGCTCTGTCAGAAGACTGTCATCCTGGGTGTGTTTGGACTTTTGATTGAGAAGGAGAATAAAACTTAATCAGTCATCAATTCATGCACTGAAGCAGAAAGCACTGAGCTCCTACTTTGCTCTAGCCTTTGATCCGGCTGCTGGACATACAAATGTACACAAAGACTTAGTCCGTCTAAGAAGGAGCCAAAGGTTGATATGTGAAAAATGGACACGTAAAAAAATATCTGTGGAACAGCGTGTTGTGGTGCTAGAGGTACGTCACAGGGAAGCTCCCCAGTCTTCTCTACGGGTGAAAAGCTACCTTAGGCAAGTAGCCACACCCACAGTCAGCCTATGAGTTTCCTTTCTGGGATTTGACTCCTGTTCTCTTCTAGTCTGAAGAGTAATGCCTTTATCTGTTCCTCTAGCATCATTCATTCATCATCCGTTCACTTGTTCATTCAACAAACGTTAAGTACCTACCAAGTGCTAGGCACCTTCACAGGTTTTAGGAATGTGAATATGAGTTCTTGTTTTCAGAGAGCCCATAAGTAGACAAGGAAAAAGACCCTTAGAAACTAGTGTGACCAGTGCCCTGTTAGTGGTATAATCTTTAAAGACTTCATGGAAGATGATTCACCCACTGGGGCTATAGGGTGGAATTGGGAACTCTGGACTTGTCCCATTTGCTTAATGGTGACTCACTGGATGAATAAAGGTATGCAGAGAGGCAATTAGAATTATTTTCAGTTGAATAACGTACCTAAAATTCTCTGGTGCGGAATGTGTGGTCAGAGATAAAATTTCAAAATTGGTGCTTTTTGAAAATGATGTGATATGATAGTGGGATGTTTTATAGTTAGCAGAACTTATGCACATTTCAGGTATTTTTATCTACAATTATCTTGTGAATCTTGGGGCAATGGTGAAGCAAAGATCTGCCTTTGTCCGTGACATGTCAGCATTACAGATGTGAGTCACTGGTATAAACCTTCAGAAGGGGTGTCCCTGGCCTCTACCTTGTGAAGCCAAAGAGAGCCTGGGGTGGCAACAGGTAAAGTGGCTGAGGGAATGAGCTTTGCAACCTCCCTGATCTGACTTTTATTTCCAGATCTACCACTTAAGTTGGGTATATTTCCTAACTTTCTAAACTTCAGATTTTTATTTTTGTAAAATAGAATAAAATTGTATTTGAGAATTAAATAAGGTGATGCAGGTTAGGTTGGGTTCTCCAGTAGCAGACTCTGAGTTGAGGATTTGTGTGAAAGTGATTTATTAGGAAGTGGATTTAGGAAAAAGATTGTTTTTATGTAAGAAGAAAGGCGGTTGTATACATTTATTTTCCTTGATGCCTCACGGATTTGCAATTCCACCTCTTAAATACACAACCTTTTATTTTATTCCATTGATCAATGTATTCGTTTATCATTGTTTTAATAACTATAGATTTACATTATAGATTTAGTTTAGTTATAGATTTACTATAGATTTACTAGCTATGATTTACAGCACATTTAATATGGATCCCCCTTAATACTCTCCTTTTTTGAATATTCTGGCTATTCTTATGTATTTGTCTTCCCAGATGAACTTTAGAATCATGTTTATCAAGTTTCTAGAAACTTTATCTAGGAATTTTGATTGGCGGTGGTTCAATTTATAGATTCAGAGAACTGACATCTTCCCGTTTTTAATCTTCCTATCCAAGAACATGACATTCCTCTCCGTATAGGCCTGTGTTCTGTTAGATCCTTCAGTGCAGCTTTATGGTTTCAATCTTATAGTCCATATACATGCTTGTTGGATTTATTCATATGTATCTTATATAAATGTGAGTGGGATCTGTTTTTATATTGCATTTTCTAAGTGAATTAGATCTTTATTCTTGTTGTATAGGAAACCTGTTTTCTACATTTATTATGTACTTGATCACTTTATTGAATTTCTTATTATTTCTGTTAGTTTTTCAGTTGATTTTCTTGTGTTTTTGAGGAATGCAATGAAAATATATGCAAATAATGGGAAATTTGCCTTCTCATTTAGAATATTAATGCTACTTATTTTACTTTTTAGTTATTTTCTTGTTTAGCATGTTTATACTGTTTGGAACTCTAATCAGAATGCTTGTGTTTTACCACTAAAAAGGATACAAGCTATTGGTTTTGTGTTTGTATATATTATTAATTTTATTGAATTTCTAAAAAATCAGAATTTTGTGCTTTTTGGAAATCTCTCTTGATCATCACATGATTTCTCCCTTTGATCCATTAATATGAAGAAATATAGTATTAGATTTCCTAATTTTGAACTGTGCTTACCTTCCTGGAATAAATCCCACTTGAATTAATTTTTAAAATATCCTTAGATTCTCTTGCTATTAAATTCAGACTTTTCATGTATATTTATGAATATTGGAGTGTTTTAAACAAAATTATCATGGACAAGTTCTAGTATAAGCACTGTGTCAATGTGGTTAAAAGAATGAAAATATTTTCCTTCTTCTCTTATTCTCTGATTTGTCCTAAAGAGCGTATGAGGTTTGATTTTGAAATAACTTGCCCCTGAAACAATTTAAAACTGGCACTTTTTTGAGGAGTAGTTTCTTTCTGATAATTTCCCCAATTTTGATCTGTGGAGATAGGAGAAAGTGAATTATTTTCAGCTTCTCTTATCAAAGGGAATTGTCAATTATCACTTTGGCCATTAACTGAACCTAGAATTGGCTTTTCTGGAAAGCTATTTTCTTTTCTTATGAGGGCACACCGAGGAGCATCTACAGCCATGTTAGTTGCCTCCCAGGTTTGGGGGATGGGAACTTAGTGGACTGACTTCAGGGCTTGGTCATTTCCTCCCCCAGGACAAGACTTCCCTGAGAGGCGAAAACAAAGCAGGAAGGCGGGCTGGGGCTTAAATCCTGTCGCTGCTTGGCCCTCCCTCCCCATTGGAACCTGTCGTTGGGTTCCTGTATTAGCCCAAATGTTTTCAAATGCCTCCTAAACATCTCCTAATGAGAATCTCACCTGTCACCTTGTCCTCCAAATGACATTTCCTTCCATAGTCTTCGTTCAGTTAACGGCACCACTACCTACTCAGTTTCCCAAATCCAGAGCTTGAGTTTTGTCCTCGATTATTCCTTACCTCTTACACATCCCATTTGATTTGTTGACAGTGTCTCTCACATCCGTCTCTTTCTCTCCGTCACCATCGTTGCTGCTTTCCTTCAGGTCCTTAAACCTGGTCACTTCATTTTGCATTAGCCCCGTCATCAGTCTCTTACTCTGGTCTTGTCCCCTGCTGTGTTCTCACTCCTCCAATCTCCTCTACCCTTGTACCTGTGACCTTTTTAAAAGATGATTGATTTTTATCAAAGTACTGTATATAGTTAAAAATATCAAATACAAGTATACAATTACTGGTGTGCATTTTTTAAATCAAAAAAGCTATGAAAACATATTTTTTGGGTACCTTTAGCACCAAAGCTCATTCTGGTGGCAAAACCTGAATTAAACTTAAAGTCTCATTGTGAAATATTGTGTTAATTATTGGATGCTGCCCCACACCCTGATGGGAGTAAGTATGATACTGTACGTGCGTGATATTATCTTTAAAGATCAGAAAATATCTGAATTCTGAAATACATCTAGCTTCAAGGATTCAAGGTTGTGGGTTGTGGTTCCCCATCCTGCTCTCCAGAGGCAACTCTGTAAACTCCTTTAGCTTTTAAAAATTATAGTTATATTCATATTTTTAAATAACATGCTTAGTCTTATAGTTCTTGATTTATCAATTTTGAACATCTGTATATTGACTTCCTATTATAATTTATGAAGATTTGACTTACCTCTTTCCCAGTTGTGTTAGTCTGCTCGGGCCGCCGTAACAAAGTGTCACAGACTGGGCCGCTTAAACACCAGAAATTTGTTTCCTCACAGTCCTCGAGGCTCTTCTCTTCATTTTCTTCATCATTTTTCTGAAGCACATCTGTAGTAACTTTCCCAGAAAAGGCATGGGATATAAGTTTTTAGATTCCCTGCAGGTGTGAAAATGCATTTTTATACTCACACGTGATAGTTTGTGTGGGCATAGAATTCCAGGCTGTGAACAATTACTCATTAGATATTTGAAGGCATAGAACCCTCATGTCTACTAGACCTCTGCGTGGCTTGGTGTGTACCTGTTTGTGTTCTCTCTGGAAGCTCTGGAATCTATCCTGGAGATTCTGAAATTTCACAGTGACACGCCTTGTAGTGAGTCTTTTTCCACTCATTGTTTTAGGTATCCCTTTCACTTTGCTGGCTTATTTTTCAATTTTAGGAATTTCTTTGAAAATTTCTTCCTGTTTCTGTGTTCTCTTTCTGTAACTCCTATTATTGAGATATTGGACTCCTAGAATGATTTTCTAATTTTCTTTTCTCCCCTATTTTCCATTTCCATTTCTCTGTTTGACTTCTATAGAGATTTTACCTCTGACGTGAAAAGTTGATTGAAATGTGTGTCCCCTTTAATGGCTCTGTGTAGCTTTCAGAATAAAGTCCCAGCTTCTTTAATGATCAGCTCTACCTAAAACTCTTCCCTTGTCGTCTGAACCCATCCTTTGCTTTTCCGTGATAGCTTTTGAATGTCTCTCTCAGTGCTTATCACACTGTATGATTGGTTCTACTCAGTTGTCTCTACTTTTTTTGTGAGCTTCCTAAGGATGGGGATTGACTTGTTGACTTTTCATCCTGACACACTCAATAATGTTTGTTGAGTAAATGTGAACAAAGCTACTATACCCCCCTTCTTAGGCTGATCACCCCCGAAGTGGGTCTTGAGATGAAGATTGGTGTGCAGGTGGTTTGTTAAGCAACTGCTCCCAGTAGAATTTACTAAGGGAGTGGGGAAGCAGGACAGGGAAGGGAGAGAAGCCAGGCAAGGATGTAATTTTAGGCAAAGTCATCAGCCTCAGTCTAATCCTCTAGGGGAATTCTGGAGTGTAAATTATTCCTCAGAGTTTGTCCAAACTGGAGGGAAGGGAGTTGAGTTTTCATAATCCAGCACTGTCTGGGATAGAGCAGAGTCTGTTCTGGGATAGGGCAACCAATCACCTTGCTTGGTCCAGGACTATCTTGGTTTTAGCATTAAAAGTCTCATGTCCCAGGAAATCCCTCAGTCTGGGGCAAGCCAGGACAGTTGGCCACATTAACAGGTATTTCCAGCTGTCTGTACTTGCAGACAAAGTGACTCCAGCAGCTCAAGGGAAGTCCTTGGAGGAGAGAAACAGCTGCGGCTATTAGAAGCTGTGGTACACAGAATAATGGCCTCCAAAGATGTCCACATCCTGATCCCCAGAACCTGTGAATACCTTACCTTCCATGGCAAAAGGGACTTCGCAGGTGTGATTAAATGAAGGATGTTGTGATGGAAAGATTATCCTGGTTTATGTGGGTGGGCCTTATGTAATCATGTAGATCCTTATAAGTGAAAGAGAGAGGCAGGAGAGTCAGAAGAGATGTGATGACAAAAGCAGAGCTCAGAATGATGTGATCACTGGCTTTGCAGACGAAGGGAGCTACAAGCCAAGGAATGCAGGCAGCCTCTAGAAACTGGAGAAAGCAAGAAATGGATTCTCTGCTAGAGACTCCAGAAGGAATATAGCCATGTGACGCCTTGATTTTAGCCCTGTGAGACCTATTTTGGACTTCTGACTTCCAGAACTCTAAGATTATAAATTTATGTTGTTTTAAACCACTAAGTTTATGGCAATTTGTTACAGAAGCAATAGGAAACTAATACAAGGCAAGCTGGGGGAGGGGAACACAGAAACAGTAAAAGGGATCTGAGGGGGCCAGGAGGTGCCCCAACAGTATCTTCTCCCTCCAAATCAGAAAACTAAATTGGAGAGCTAAAGCTTTAAATCAATGGTCAACAAATTAGTTGACTGTCAAACTAGGGGGGCATGGCGTAGTGATTAAGCCATGGCGTCTGGAGGTTGATGTCCATTTTAACCAATCTTGGCTTTGGGCATTTTTAGCTCTATGACCTTGGCATGTTACATAAGCCTTTCAGAACCTCAGTGCCTTGTCTGTAAAATGGGGATAACAAAACCCAAGAGCTAGTCTCCAGATTAAATGAATACGTATGTAAAGTGCCTGACACGCAGTAAAACCTCAAAGTAGATATTACTGGTAGCACAATAGGATCCCATCTCTATTCAACTACTACAGTCAAAAGACAGCATAAGGTGAAAATTAAGCTTGGTGACTATTAGGGATTAAAATCACTCAACTCGCCCAGAGTGTACAGAATATAGGGTTTTGTGTTCATTATCTTGTAAATAATGTGTACATATGAGAGGTTGCTTGTCACCACAATGGGAATTATATAATACTGAGTCCAAGTGCAAAGCATATGTTACAGTATTTTAAGTTACTTAGACAAGGGAGGGAGTTCTTGGATATTGTGCAGCGGGCTCCTCCGTACGTCTGGTATTTTAGCGTTTTTTTCAGTCCATGGTTTGTTTATGTAAAGGATGGCTTTCACCTTCATTTGCGTTTGCTCTCTTCCTGAGATCTTTGTTAAGCCAATAAAGTTGCCCATGATACCTGTGCCTGTCTTCTCTTTCCATGGTTATCTGGGGGGTATTTTCCTAGCCTTTGAATATGCTAAGCAGCCATAATTGGAGAAAGTTTAATAAACAACCATTAAGTTGCTATTAGAAGTGTCAGGGCTGGTGTAACTAGTAATTTTGTAATAATTAATGAAGCTCACCTGTAACTATAAAGCCACTTACTGTCCCAGATCAGCTTCAACTGGATCTAGAAATGGGCCCTACAGACCCTCTGTTATCAAGGTGCCTGCTGTCCAGGTGGGCGACCTTGGATATTTTATTCATCTCTATTAGAGAAGAGCACCCCCAAACTCAAATCAGCTAAATGTGGTGACTTTTAAACAGCTCTTCAAAGAGGCCAAAGCCAGCGGTTATATGTGGGGGCTAGGAGCCATCCAGAAGTGGTCTATCTGTGGTCTGCTCTAGCCCCCTCTTCCAGGTCACAGAGTCAGAGCTGTTGAACATCCTAGCAGCCCTTTCTTCCACATTCCAGGGACGTCACTGGGTTGGGCTGAATCTCTTTTAAATGTGGTGATTTTTCTGCCTTGGGTGAAATGGTGACAGAGAAAGGGCGGAAGCCAGGGGAGGAGGGGGAGGTCTTTGGCTGGGCTGTAGCCCAGGGGGCCGCCTGGAGCCTGCTGAGGAAGGGAGTGGGTGTGGGAGAGCTTGCTTCCCTCTGAGGCTGCGCCAGCTCCTGGAAACACTGCCTTTCTTTCTGAAAACCCTCCGTGAGGAGGACCAGTTAAAACAACAAAAGACATCAATCAAACCTTATGGGGTGATTTTAAGGCCAAAGGGAAAGTATCTAGATGGAAAAGGGAGGTGGTCAGCAGTGGGAACTCCACCCACCGTCTGCTCTCGCAGAGCCTCACTTTGCAGCCCCTCACACCCTCTGACCGCACTCTCCCCACCTCCATCTTGTTGCCCTGGAGCCTGGCCCCATTGCCTTGTTCGCCAGATGAACTGCCCTGTCTGTGCCTTGCCTTAGGCAGGGCCTCTCGGGGATAGAGCTGTGTTTGTCTCCGCTGTGTGTTGAACTTGGCAGGTGCAGGAGCATCTCATTCCAAGTCAAACCACTACCTTTCAGAAGAGAGGGCTGGCCTGGAACCCATGGCGTGGGGCGGCTCCCGTCTACAACCACCAATGGTTGGAAGCAAATGTTGTCCCTCACCATCACCCGTGCCAGGCCTGCTGTTGGTAAGGACTGGGAGGGGAAGAAACAGGCATTCAGGACTGGAGGTAATAGGAGGAGGCTGGAGGGCTGTGGGCAGGAGGAATGAGGGCAGCTTCACAGAGAGAGGTTCAAGCAGCCCCAGAGAGTCGACCGTTGCTTTGGACAAATGAGCAGTTATTGGCCACTCTGATGCCACCTGGGTGCATACCTGAGTGTGCAGAGCCAGCTCAAGAATGAGGTCTTGTTTCTCAAGAACTAGCCCTCCTGTTGGAAAGCTCTGGAAAGACAATGAGTACATTCAGGAAGCTTTTCTCCCTTTGCTTCCCCAGCTGGCTGCCATGGAATCTTTGCTCCCATAAAGAGAGGCTGCCCTCCAAGGACCAGGAAGGGAATCCTGCAGATCAGAGGGGCAGAAAGACTCCAGCCTCAGTTTCTCATTTGAAAATTGTTGCCAGATAGTGAGATCCGTTGTCCACTTCACCTGTGATAATGACTCCCTGACAGTTCAGTGTAGACATCTAGACGCCAGCTCTGCCATATACTAGCTATGTGACTTGGGCAAATGACTTAGGCTCTCTGTGCCATGGTTTCCTCATCTATGAAATGGGGATATGGCCTATCTAGTAAGTGTTGTGAAGATGAGAGGAGAGAACATCTGGGAAAGCGCTCACTTGGCTATTATTTTTATCAGCCTCTGTGCAGATGTCATAGCATTTTTACATGGAGTTTCTCACTTTCTCTTCATAATCGTTCCACGAGGTAGAAGTGGAAGGGTGGTGTGAGAATAATTACATTTTCTATCAAAGTTTTCAGAGCTTTGCCAACGGAAATGATGGTATTGGCAGCCCACATCTGGCACAGAGAAAATGACCCCAGCAGTTTTGTGCCCATGTTGGGTATGTTTTCTCTTTGCTTGGTGAACTGGCTATGAAACAAAGAATTTCAATGGAGGTAGACAATGTTGACCATTTTGAAGACCCTCTAGGGCCACCAAAGATGGGTAATCTGGTTTAAGGAAAACAATTCATTATCCCTACCAATGCTGTGCAGTAGAAACTTCTTGTGAATCACTCACGGAATTTTAAATTTTCTTGTAGGCACATTGGAAAAGTTTTTAAAAAGTGAAATTAATTTTAGTAATATATATATATTAACTCCCATATATTAAAAATATTACCATTTCAACACATAATCCAAAAATTATTGAGATACTTTATATTCTTTTTTTCATACCACGTCTTTGAAGTCCACTGTGTATTTTCCATTTACAGCACATCCCAATTCCATTGCTAAGAATTCATTGGAAATTCTTGATCTGTATTTAGATTTCATAAACCTGATAGCTGCCAGAATAGACTCACATACTCAAATCATTCCAAATACACTTAAAAGTTTTCCAGTAATGGAATCGAATGTCGGTTTTTAACTACAAATTTAAATTAACTAAAATTAAATAAAATTTAAACTTCAGTTCCTCAGTCACACTGAGCAACATTTCAAGTGCCCAGTAGCCACATATAGCTTGTGGCTGTCAAACGGGACAGAACAAGAGAAGTTGTATTTGCTACCCCGTTTTCTTGTTTGCCTGTATTTCCAAAGTTAGAATTATCTTCATTAGCTTTCTTTCCAAGAAGGTTTTTAAGTCACTTGCCTATTTCACAAGTATTTTAAACTAGACCACACTGTCTAGTCACCTAACAGACACAGTGACTGAGGAAGTTCTACTGGTGACTTTGCACTGGGAGGGAGCCATGGAGTCCGCATGACTCGGGATTCTCTGCCACAGTGACTGAGGGAGGGCCCCAGTGTCAATCCAGATGTAAATAGTATAAAACGTTAATTTCCGTCTTTTGTGGAGGAGGGCAGACAAAAATAAACAGAAATGGAAGATCTAATGTTCTCCTCCTACACTCCTGTGGATCACCTTTGCATACCACGCTGGAAGACCAGGTTTGGAACATTGCTGCTGTGATCTTAACCTTTCCCCCAGCTGAGGCACAAGCTCGGTCCTTGACTTTCAAGGAATGGGTAGTGTTTGTTCTGGGCCTTTTCCCTTCTGACCTCCTCTTCCACCCCTAGAGTTCCTGGGTCCTTTTTTTAACCTGAGGAAGATTTGCCCTGAGCTAACATCTACTGCCGATCTTCCTCTTTTTGTATGTGAGGCACTGCCAAAGCATGGCCACTAACAGAAGACTGGTGTAGGTCTGTGCCCAGGAAGCAAACCCTGGGCTGCTGAAGCAGAATGCACCAAACTTAACCACTAGGCCACAGGGGCTGGCCAGCTTTTTGGTTTTTTTAAAAAGCATCATGTAGTACATTCATTTTAAGACTTTTGATTAAATAGTAAATACTTTGTCATCCAAAATAAAAAACAAAAAAATGTTTCCAACAGGAGTCACAAAGATGTGGTCACATCTTTATTTTAGGGTTTGACCTAATTTTATTCTTTGGGTACAAATTATACAATAGTTTTTCCCTCAAAATTGCCTAAATATTTCGGCACACTGTAATGGAGACAACATCCTGGGAATTTGTACTTATATTTCCAGTGTTATGATTTTCTCCAGCTTCACTATTTTCAGAAACAGAGATGCCTTCCGGTTTATGGAAGGATTATGGATTGTTTCATTTGTTCGAGATTTCAGAGTTTGGGCTGTGTCTTTGCTTAGCAGTTTCATCCTGGCTGGGTTCTGGGTGGTCCATTTCTTCTTCCATTTCTCTAAGTGACCCTCCTTACTCCTGCCACCTTTATTTTTCTTTCTTCAGCTATTTTGCTACTTAAGTCATCTGAGGTGGAACTTTTGGAATCCTTGGCTTTCTGTGGATACAAGTTTGACTCTTATGACCCGAGCAGGAGGAGCTGTTCCTTGGTGCTTTTCTTCTTTCCTGCTTCCCTCTTGAGGAGGATCCAGATTAAATTCTCTGAGGGAGTGAAATTCTTGGCAAACCGTAGGGACTTTCTTCCTCTCTTTTGTCTTGAATTGTATAAATAAAATATTCCAGAGCCCTGAAATGTTGTTTTGCACAAATGCCTCATGGGGAATACATTTTACTGGAGGAAATTTAGAATGTTCCTATCTAAGTTCACACAGGCTTCCAGCATACGGGTGACTTGTGTGTGGCTGTGCTGGGCCCTGCTCAGGGGCTGAGGCCCCTCTTGCTAGTTATCATGGCCTAGGACGTGATTCCAGTTTCTTTGATCTGTTTTATTTTGAGGAATTCTAACATTGTTTTATAAGCCAGGAGGTAACTTCTTATTGCTTCTGCTTCTTTTCTCATTTTAATTCCTCAATTTCAAATATATTTATTTCCTTAGCATCAGCTCTTGCCTTGTCTTCCCAGGGAAGAAACTCCCAACTGGGAATAGTTGGGCTCCGCTTAGCTTTTTGGAAAGTCTCCCCAATAAACACTGGTCCAGGATGGAGATTTGCATACATATCTATGCATAAAAACTCTCTGGGTTTCCTATCACCTTCACCTGCCCCCTAGGGGTCCTGTTGCCAAGGGGCAGGGCACTGAAGGGGAGGAAGGTGGCAGTGTGGTCATGGCCAGGGACCAGAGCACCTGGATTTCCATCAACCATGCTTCAACCTCCCATCTATTTTGTGAACGGTTTTTATTAAGGGAGTAGTATTTTAAAAATAGCTTTTTGTTTATGAATCAAGACTATTATTGCTTTTTGTTATTTAGTTCATTAATTTCTGCATCTAAATTAATTGAGTGCATTTTGTCTAGTTTTATTTTGTTATTCTTTCCCTAGCTTCTTGAATGCTTAGTTCACTTATTTTTCTATTATGCATGTATTCCATTTAAGAAATCTTTGCTTATCCAAGATCATAAATGTCATATCAAAAAGATAAACTGCTATGTTTTCTCTAGAATCTTTATAGTTTTTGCTTTCATATTTAGGCTCTATGAACCACCTGAAAACACTTTTTAGTGTAAGGTGAATTAGGGATTGTGTGGTTAGTCAACTGACCCAGCAACATTTATTGGAAAGTAATTCTTTCCCAATGAATAGAATGAATTGGGTGATCACATGTGTGTGAGCCTGTTTCTAGACTCTCTTCCACTTGTTTATTTTTTTATCTTTGCTCCAAAACCTTGTCATAGCTTTATGATAATGTTTGATATTTGTTATTATTCATCTTCTAGGTTCAGTCTTTTTCAAAATTGCTGTGACTATTCTTACTCCTTTGCATTTTCATGTATGTTTAGAAACAGCTTGTCAATTTCTGTGGATAGGGTGAAAAATGGTCCCACAAAAGATATCCATGTCCCAATCCCTGGCTCCTGTGATTACCTTGTATAAAAAAAAAAAAAAGGTCTTTGCAGATGTGATTACATTAAGGATCTTGAGATGGGGAGATTAGCCTGGATTATCCAGGTGAGTTCTAAACGCAACCACGATTCTGTCTAAGAGAGAGGTAGAGAGAGATCTGACTACACAAAGAGGAGAAGATGATATGAAGATGGAGCAGAGAGAGATTTCATGATGGTGGTCTTGAAGATTGGAGTGATGTGGCCACAAGCCAAGGAAAACAAGCAGCCACCAGAAGCTGAGAAGTAGGGAACAGATTCTCCCTTAGAGTCTCTGAAAAGAGCAGGCTCCTGCCAACACTTTGACTTCAGCCCAGTTATACTGATTTCAGACCTCTGGCCTCCAGAACTGTGCGAGAATAGCTTTTTGTTGGTTTCAGCCACCAGCTTTGTAGTAATTTGTTACAGCATCCTCAGGAAATGAATATAATTTCCAAAGAAGAATCTGTCAGAAGTTTGTTGAGGCTGTACTGAATCTATAGATCACTTTGGGAAAAACCGACATCTTAACCATTTAGTCTTTCTCTTCATGAACGTGATATAGTCTTTCATTTACTTAGAGATTTATTCATTTATGAAGAGTTTATTTTTTGCCTGTGAAATGTTGGTCAAAGGGCCAGCATTGAAAGGCACATGGAGAGGTTGGCACTATGTCCTTGCCCTGTGCCTTACTGCCACCTGTGTCTGGGTAGCTTTTGTCCACAGGAAAGGAACAAAACCAGAAAGAAAGGAAATGTAGATTGTTGTTCCACTCAAGGGGATGCACAGAAGGGTGAGGTCCTCTAAGGAGCAAGCACTGAAAGAACTCTTCTGAGTGAAGCAGGGATGGTATCTTTGAGAGTTCCCGCATGCTTCTTACTGATGTCACAAGAAAATCACCTGGACAGTTTAAAAAAAATACTAATACTGAGGCACACTGTAGAGTTTCTCATTTAATTGGCATGGCGTGGGACCTGGGCACCTATATTTTTGGAAAGCTACTCAGGTTATTCAGCTATGAAGCTAGGGTTGAAAACCAGGGTGCTACAGAAAAGATATGAAATCCTGGGACTGTGGGATCAACAGAAAAGGGAATTTTAGCTCCTTGTTTTAAGACTGGAAAGGCTGATCCTGGATGATGGAGGGTGTTTCTGTATATGTGTGTGTGTGTGTGTGAGAGAGCGAGCGAAATAGACAGAGGGAGAGATTGGGGTGAGGGATAGAAATAGGGAAGGAGCTTGGTCCACAGGGAGATACTTACCTCAATATGGTGGTGAGAGTGTAAGAAACTGAAGGGAGGCAGCCCTGTTTAAGAGGGAAGATAAACATGAAGCAAGGACATTTGGATGCACATAATCCAACCACGCAGAGGTCTTCCGATCTGGAAAGTGGGGCTGAAGGGCGTGATACCTGTGATTTCCATGGCAGCTTGTAGCCTGCCCAGAACAGTAGCTGGATGTGGATTAAGTACGAGGATAAGTGAGCATTCATTCATTCAACAAGTTTTGATCTCGAGGATAACTGACAAACACATTGGCATTCCCGATGCTCTCCTATTCATTATTCTCCTCCTTAGCATTTATCCTACATATATTCCTATATATATTTCATATATATGTGTATATATTCATGGTATAGCTTACTAAGCTATATATTTCTGAAACATATATGGGATGGGTATATATATATATACAACAAGGGATTATCACAATGTATAGAAGAGTCATACAAATCAATGTGTTATTTCATTTAAGAAAAATGGAGGTTGGATATGAACAGGAAATTCACAGAAGAAACATGAATGTTTAGTAAAAATGTGAAGAGTCTCAGTTTCACTAATGTGCTGTGGATTAAAGTGCTGTGTGAGCTGCAAATCCACTCTCCTGTGCTCTGCTTGTGGTGCTGGGCCTGGGATTCTGTGAACTGTGTTTCTCTGCTAGCTGACTTCCACTAGTTTCTGCCAGAAGGACTGGGAGGAGGAGAAAGGAGAAGGGACCTTCTCTTTCTTCTGCATCTCCTGTTTATCACAGTGTCACCTCGGGAACCGCAGTAGTCGGTTCCTTTTCCCAGCTTCTTTCCTCACTCCCTGAGACATTATTGCATGCCTTCACAGTGCCCCTCACATCTGGGCAAGGGTTTCTTCTCTGCATTTGGAGTTCAGTTTTTGGAAGTTCCTTTTCCAAGCTCCTGAAATGTCCACACCATCCATGCAATGAACCTTGATTTGTGGTCTAAACCTATCCACGTGGCTCCTCTCCAAGCTTCTGGCTTCCGAGAACCCCCACCCCACCTTCTGTTTCCCCAGCCTTGGGGGTGGATATGCTGCCTACATTTGCTACCTTTGTCTTACCTCTGACTTTTCCAGGACTCCAACATCTGTTCACCCAATTACCTCTATCAATTCTCTCTTAAGCTAACTAGTGTGGTTTTTCATAAGACTCACTTGAAAATAAAGTACAAAACACATTATAATATAGATCAAGGTTTTGTCTAGGTTAGAAAACCCGAAGTTAGTAATTACCTGATCCCAGGAATTGCTCAATAGGTCAATCCCCTGATCCCTTGCTATTTTCACCTTTATGCAGCTGTAGGGGGAAGGTGGTAGTCTACAAGCCTGCGAGAGCTAGAGTGGAGCTTCTTATGTCACAGAAGCAGGATGGGGCCTTCTCTGCTAAAATTCCATGGAAATAATAATAGTAATATTGACTTATTTATGGAGGGTACACTATCAACACCTGGCCTTGGCAAGTAACTTAACCTGAGTACCGGATCTCAGATATTATATTGAGATATATTATACCCACCTACTAGAATCTTCGCTTCTGAAGACTGAAGTGAACAAGGAAAGTGCTTTATACCATGGCAGAGTTATACACCACGCCGGGAGCCCTCCTACCTTTACTACATGGGCTCGGTGTCCACGGAGAACTCCAAGCTCTGGAAATGTCAGGATTAGTCAAGAAGACAGTAAGATCTCAAGTCACCACCAGCACTAAATGATAGAGTCAACAATCCCAACTCCCTTTTCAGGCCCCTTATCTAGAAAAGGGACTATGCCCACAGTCCCACTGGGAATTGCTTTCAGAAGAGCTGATGAAAGCTGTGAAGGCACTGTTGCCCAACAGTGAGGGGAGTGGAAACGACTTGGCAGAACCTCAGGGAAGGCCCATCAGGGCATGAGATCAGTGACCAGAGACGAGGACCACACTCCAGGGGTAGAGGCAGAACCACATGTCATGCCCTGCAGACTCCAGAGCTGCATCTCCAAGACAGAAGGAGGCCTCCAGCAGACAAGATGGGGATGCGGGCCTTCTAAAACTCAGGTATGAGTTGAGCCAGGCATGTGTTGAGACCCTACTGGGTGTCAGGATCTGTGTTAGATAAGAACACTAGCTATGTTTGCTTCCACTAGTGGTGGAAGGAAATACCTTTCTCAATTTTTTTTCTTCTTTTTATAAAATTATATAGCAAATTTGAAAGACATAGAAAAATAGAAGTATCCAGAGATTTGCTAACTTCACTATTGCAGCCATTGCGATGAGTAAAACTATAGAGAATGAATGGCTAGAGAGTATTTTCTATATTTTTATAATTTATACAAAAATTATACAGTACATTGACATTGATACATTTAAATATATTCTTATTTTTAAAATTCAACCAATTCAGATAAAATAAAAGCTGCCACTGGGGAATGCCATTGGGAATCACTCCCCACTTCCAGTCCCTTTGTAAACTCTGTCAAGAGTTTGGGCTGTAATCTATCAGAATTTATATTTATGTTTGTCTTACATTTGTTTCAAAATAACACAGTTATGTCAACAGCATCATTGTACAGTTTGAATTTTTTACCTACCATGTCCTGCAAATCTTTCCATGTCAATTCATATAGATTGACCTTTTTAAAATAGTGGATATGACATAGTTTTAGTAACCATTTGACAATTCCCCTACTGTCATTATTTGAGTCCAAGCAGTGCAGCAATGAGTGTCACACAGGAATGTCTCTGTACTCAGGTGGGAGTCTTTTCCAAGGCTGGCCCACTGGCTCTTTCAAGCTTTACTTGGCCAGAAATCTGCTCTTTAAGGACACAGGAGACCTTAGACTACCCTGATCTCCATTGAACTTTGCGCGTCTCTCAGTTCACTGTTTCCGAGGTGGTCTCCTGATTTTAGCTTAGGAGCTGGGGACTCTTCAACCTTACCTATTTCCCTGCAATCTTCAACTCTTTAAGAGATTCCTAAATTAATTTCTAGCATCCTTTTATTAAAATGGAAATTCACCTTAGAGAAGATGCTCTATTTCTTTGGTGAGCTTCTCCCTTCTAGACCTTCTCTTCCCTCAGGACCTTCTCTTCCCTCTGTTCTCTGCATCAGGGGCATTGTTATTCTATGGCTGGAGCCTCTTAGGGCACAACGCCCACTCTCATCCATTGGTAGGATGACCAACTCATCCTAGTTTGCCTGGGACTTTCCTGACTTCAGAACAGAAAGTCCTGTGTCCCAGGGAACCCCTCACTCCCAGGCAAGCTGGGATGGTTTGATCACCATATCCCTTGGCTCATTTTCTGCCATTGCTTCACCTGTAAGTTGGCTCTGGGCTGCATCCATTAGCCCCAACTGCAGCACCACTGTGCCACATTGTGTCCACGATGCTGAGTGTGAGGGGCTGAAAAGTGTGTCTGCCATCTTCTCCAGTCTGAAGGCCCTGTGTGAGCCCATGATCAATATCGGAGGGGGACTATCTCAGGGTCTTCTGGACTTCCACACTCAGAGGCACTAGGGCAGAGAGAGGACTACTGAGGGTGATGACCTTGTTTCCCAGGACTGCTTGGTAACCTTGGCTATGAGTCCTACCTTGAAACATGGGTGCTTGAGGGGGGAAAGGTAGACAAGGGAAGAGGCTAGGATTGGACATCTCTCAACTTAAATGCTTTAATGGATTCAAGGACCCTGAGAGGCACATCTGACTTCTGCCACATATAAAACCATAAACTAAGAACAGCTAGGACCTATTGAACTCCTGAACAGGGAAGAAAATCTAAGAGTGATTTATGAGGTTCCTAACCTAAGAAGGGGACCCAATTTCTGGTTTCTAAGCTATATGGAACTCCCCAGGAGGGGGCAGTGTAGAGTAGGCAGTGAGCCAAGGACCATTCACAACTGACTCAGACAGGATCCTGATTGGTCTGCCCCAACTTCTTGCCCATGTGTACCTTTAGGGCATTTTTCAGTTGTGTGGTCTCCCTTGGAACCTTTAATAAGTCATTTGCTCCTTGGTCAACCAGATCATTTTTAGCCTCCTCTTCAGTCAGACCCTGGACCCCTTACTGGGTAGCTTTACAAACTCCATTATAGCTTCTCTCTTAGGCCCCCCCCAGGTCCTTTCCTAGCTGGGCTGGGTTGAGCCCTTCACAGGAAGTTTTCTGGGAGCTCCACTCATTCCTTCCTTAGGACCTTGTCCTTTTGGCCTTTAAACTCCGAGTGGGGTGAGAGTCTATGTTTGCCCTTTGGCTAAGAAATCCTGGTTATTTTCTTGGAGGCTGTGTCTGTGCCAGAGACTGATATTCTGAGGGTCAAGATCCACTGGAGGTGGATGAGTCCCCTCTGAACTCCAGTGCTCCAGTTGCTTTTGGATCTTGTTGCTGAAAAGAAATCTTTCTGAAAGGATGGAGACCAGCCACATAGGCCTGGGAGCCCAGGCTGGATGGGCAATGGTTGCGAGCCAGAGGATTAAGGCTTCCTGAGATCTTTGGACAACAGAGGGTGACCCACAAACGTCCCAGCTGCTTCCGCAACCAGTATCATTTCAGGTGTTGAATTTCAGTCAGGGCGAGGGCCTGTATCTCATCCTGGGTTCCAAGGAAAGATACACCACAGGCCCTAATCTGGGTTGTAAAAGATCATAGGACAAGGAGAGAAGGGAAAGAGATGAATCAACCTTATTCTGAAGAGAAATCAGATCCTGTGCTGCCTCAGGTCCTCTTGGCCAAGTTCCCCAAGCTGACCCTTTAATATTCCTCTTTGCGCCTCTGTGTTGATGCTGAAAGACTAGAATGAGGGGCTGAGACTCAAGTCTCACTCTTTTTTTTCCAGGCAGGTTGCAAACATAGTGCGTGAATAATATGATGTTCTACACGGCATTAATAAAGAGCTATGTTCTTTCCATGTTATTCACTTTTAAAGTGGATAAAAATATTTTCTATTTTTCCATCATTGAAAAACTCAAAGAAGGGTTTTTTGTACCATATCTTTGATTGGTACTTCGGTTGGTAGCTTTCAGATGAAGACAGCACCGAGTCTCAGACCTACGCTTGCTGGCTGTTCCATCAGATAGGATTCTACACCTGAGAACAGACTGAGGGCTCTATCAGCTGACCAGAGACTCTCAGAGGCTCAGCACCACTCTCCAGATAGGTCCTAACCCAGAGGAAGGGCTCATTTCAAGATGCCTGAGATGGGAAGCACTGACACACCAATGTTCTTCTGCAGGTGTCCTGAACTCCATTAATAATCCAGTCCATGACCACTGAGTCCCTGTGTTTGGGATGATATTCTTTTCCTTTCTAATGTTTCCTGTCTCAGATGCGTCTCTCTGAGCCAACATAATTGATTTAAAAAAGTGGGAAGAGGAACAGGAGAAATAAGAGTCAACTTCAGCTGGGGGCTGGGCCTTGGCTCCCTTACCTGGTTGATGTCTCCTTTATTCTGAAGACTGGTAGCAAATGGCTCCCTTTTGGAAGAAGGATGACAGAAGGAGGAGCCTAGCCACACACAGGAAGTAAATGATGGAATTGATGACCCGTGGCTCACTCACTCTCCTCAGAAAGGAGATAGGTGTCCATCATCTGAGGCCTGAAGCTCACTACTGCCTCAGACAACAGGGCACTGAGATGTGTGCTGTATTCTAGAATGTTCCAGGCCTGCATCACAGAGCATGGAGCAGTGACAAAGAGTTCTTGAGGGTGGGGGAGGGGGACCCACAGCCCCACCCCAATAACCCAGACTAAGAGGTCTAACCACCCTCCTGGGCATCTGGATCCCTCCCCCTTCTCTGGACCTTCCTGTTGCCAGCCCTGTCTGCTCACCATATCACATCTAGACCTCAGTGTGATTTTCTATTTATTCTACCTTTCTATTTATTCTACCTACATTACCTGGGTAGCATTACCTGATATTTCCCTTAAAGATCTGCCTTAGAGCCCACCAATTTCACAGCCTTTGAAAGTCTGGAGTTTTCCCAGGAATTTTGCTAATTCTGAGTCACTACTGAAAAAGAAGACGCCTTTCTGGGGCTGTGACACAGAGAAAGTGCCCATATCTTAGCACTCAGCTTGATGAGTTGTCACACACTGAACACACCTGTGAAACTAGCACCCAGATCAGGAAACAGCTTATTCTCAGCACCCTGGATGCCTCCCTGGTCACTGTTCCCCTCCTCCCCACCCCACCACGAGAGTCACACTCTAGCATCTTCTGAGGGCAGGCATTATTACCAGGAACAGCTTGAAGCCTTTATGTGTATTGACTCATTGAATCCTCACAGTGACCCCCGAGACGCTTCTATTACTGACCCATTTTACGGGCGAGGACACTGGGGAACACACAGTGTGAGCTACTTGCCGAGATGCTGCTGCTGGTGACTAGCAGAGCAAGATTCAACATGCTGTCTGGCTCCAGAGCCACACTCCTGAACCACTAAACTGTGCTGCCAAAAATGTCACGGCGCCTGGAGAACGCGTCTCAGTCAAGTAAAACTAGATTCTGGAAAGAATAACCACTCACCTCCACAGGGCCCTTTGCCTGTGGCTTCCATGTGCCCTTTGTTTACATCTTCTCACTTGCTGCTCAGAACGTGGTGAGGCCGTGAGGCTCAGAGCAGGAAGGGGCTGGCGTGAGGACCACAGCTGGAAGGGCAGAGGCAGGTCTGAGTCCAGACCAAATCAAGGACCATTCTTGTCCTCTAATTTTGCATGGGGAAACTGAGGCAGGAGGGGTTAAACGAATTACATTGCCCCTCCATCCAGTGGGTTTCGTTCACGGCTGGGTCTAATCTGTCCTCAGTCAGGGCCTGTGTCTGGACTGAATGATCAGGGGCCACGTGACCCTTTAGACTCTTTGGTGAAGTGTGGGACCTTGGTTGCCCTTGTGCTGGTGACAGGAGGTTACCAGGGACCCAGGAACCCAGGCAGGTGCAGGAGGAGGAAGAAAGGACAACAGGGAGATGTGTGCAGCACAGGGTGAGCAAGGCAGAGGACTCAGTGCATTTGGGGCCCAAAAGGTGATGACTTATGAGACCCTGACCTGCAAGGACAGCCCACAACAGCCTTAGTGGGTGGTGCAATGGCATCCACTCTGTCCTACAGCCTTGGGGTTGCAAGGGGCACACCGGGATTCAAATACTAGCCTGCCACCTGCCAGTTGTGCACCCTGGATGGGTTGCTTAAGCTCTCAGAGTTGCTTGCTTTATTTGTAAACAAGGTTGATCGTAACACTGATCTCACCACATCCCAGGGTGGCTTGAATGGGATAGTATATGATTCATCTGACTCATGGCACATAGGGGACCTCAGGACATTTCTGTTTCCCTTTCCTACGATCTCTTTCTCCTCAACTCTGTTGTCCTCAATACTGATTTAGAGCAAGTATTGATGGGAACTTACCTCCTTTGCAAAGTAAAATGAAATAAGAAACAATATTGTTTAATATTCTTACTGCTAATTGTGTTCCAGGATCTTGCATGATTGTAAGCAGGAGTGGCTTAGATGGAGTCATTAAGGAGAAAACAGCATTGGATGTGCACACAGACCTGGCCCTGAATCCTATCTTGCCATTCACCACTTGGTGGCCGTGTGACCCTGGCCACGGCACTTCCCCTCTGATCAGCAGCTGGTTCCTCACATCACCTCTAGTGAGCGGAGGTGAGCGAGCACTTGGTGAAATGCTGCCCAAGGGCGATGGGTCCATGACCAGGCAGTGTAGCAACTAGAGCCCCAGGACCAGAGACCCCCACGGTGCGGTTTGTTGGCATTTCTGGAGCGGCAGTTGAAACATCTCCCCAAAGTGTCTCCGCGTGGTCAGGGCTCCCCACAGCCCTTTACTGAGATGGTTGTCTCCATGCAGCCCCTCCACGGTGGCTGTCCTTCTCTGGAACTCTCATCTCTGAGGACTAAGAAGAGGGAGTGACGTGTGAATCCTATGCCAGCTTGTCTATGTTCTCAGACAAGTGTGTCATATTATGTGATCACGTTGAAAAACACGACCCAGACCTGACACGGCCCATGTCACCTGAAATGCACCTCCTTCAGTTCTCCAAGGGCTCTGGGTATACCTCTAACCATGCCCTCCCAGCATGGCAGCCAGGAGCCACACATGGCAATTCACATTTAAGTTAAATACAATAGAAAGTTCAGCATCACTAACCTTCTCACCTTGTCTCCTTCCATCTTTGATGTCACCTCTACCACTTGCCTCTTCCTGCCATTCTCCCTTCACGTGGTCTCCTTTCTGTGCATGAATATGCCAAGCTCATTCTCTCCTTAGGGCCTCTGCACTCTTCATCTCCTTTGGAACACTCTCGCTGTGGATTGTCACCTGGCTGTCTTGTCCTCATCATTTAAGTTTCAGGGGAAACACCTGTTCCTCAGAGAGGAGCCCTCACCTCTTAGCTGATGTTCCCCTCCCAGTCACTTTCCATCTGGCCCTGTTCTCTCCTTCAATCACTCCCCAGTACCTGGGGTCAACTTGTTTGTTTACACATTGCTCCCCACCAAAATGTCAGCTATTTGAAGGCAAAGATACCTACTGTCTCCTCTCACCACTGATGTCCACTACTTGGGGTAGATTGTCTTTGAACTTGAGTGTCTCCTAAACTCGAGTTTCCTAAACGTCAATCATTTGTGCTTCATCCTCGTGAGGTTTGCCTTGTTTGTGTAAAATCTGTACTAGGACTTAATATTTTTCTTTAAATTGATCTGCATTCTAACTTGAGTACCTACTTTAGCCTGATCCTAAACAAGCAACATTATGGAATTTATATCCTAATTTTTCCAAACATGGATAAATGCATAATTATTTTACACTGTTTTCTCCGTGCTACCTAAAAATCCTTATGCTCATCTCTCCTGTACGCACTCTTTCAGAAACGTTGCTGTACTCCAGCCCAGCTTTCCCATCACTATTCCTCAAACCCACCTTCCTCTCTCTGGTGGCCCGTGTTGCCAGCTCCCAGCACGACTGCCGTTCCCCACTCCCGACTCCTCTCCCACACCACTACCACCCTGTGGATGACAGAGCTGGAGTTTCCAGGTGTTGAGGTTTCAAGTTCATTATTGGGAACTGAAGTCCTGGCATTTGAGTGTTTGAATAGCTGGGTTCTTTCCCTGCTGGATGTGTGACCCTCTAGCAATTTGCCCTCTGTGTGACTCTGTGACTCTCCTAAAAGGCGCGGCCAACGTGCACAGCCCGACCAGCTCACTGACAACCACTGACTGTCCCCAGAGACCTGCCAGTTGACCAGAACCTCGGTGATCACTGTCATTTTCTTCTAAATTCAGCAGAAGCCTTAGGTCCTCCTCCACTGGCTGTGGTGGAAACACGAGTTGTGGCCAAGCCGACTTCTCAGACACCACTCTCAGCCTACCAAATGAAAAAGGAGGAGGTGAAAAAACACCCTGTAACCTCAGGTGCCCTGCCTCCAGCTTTGGGTCCACTGGAAAATCCATCGAGGTCTGCCAGGCCAGCTTGGACTGGTCTGTGTGTGTGTTCAGTTGGGTGTTCTGGATCTCCACAGCTGAGATGCCTCCACAAACAGGAGGTGTCATGATTTGGCATGTGTTACTTTGCTTTGGGTGTCTTCTCCTTGTTTTGTTTTTACCTCCTTTTTCTGAATATAACACATGGTTTCATCACTCCAGGGACATTCTCCTTCCTTCTTCCTGAGTTTCCATTTCCTCTTCTTTCTGTCTTTCCACACCTCATGACCATCAGCCCCACGCACTTTTTTTGCTCCTCTTAAGAGACAACTTGCTGGGGGAACTTAGTAAGCGCCTGCCTTGCTTCTCATGGCCACATCATCTGAAAGCCTTTAATTTCCTCGGACTCGCCTTGCTGCCGCTTCTCACTTCTGAGCCTTCTAAACCTGGATCATCATTTCCCATCACTGTGGGTAGCTCACTGCTAATCACCCTTATGGGATGCAAGTCCCATCTTAAGTGTCACTTCTTCCTGAAGCCTTCCTCTGCCCCTGCTGCCACAGATTAAGTTAAATGCCTCTCCTTTCTGCTTCCACAGCATCTCGCACCTCCTCTCTCAAACTCACAGTGTCATGTTGGGAGGGTGTTTGTGCCAAGGGTGGCTTCTCGGTGGTAGGGAGCCTCATCCTCCTTACAACTCCAACAGAATTACCCAAATAATCATCCAGCTGGAATAATAAGAGTGTTCTTGTTCCCCAGACACATTTCCTCTCCTTCAGAGAAATCCCAGAGCCCCTGCTCTAGTAATCCCGCTAGACTGTCGGCTGTGTGATGGAGAAGCCGTGTCCTTGCTCATGACTAGATCCCTGGTGCTTAGCACAGGGCTGGAATGTGGTAAATACTCCATAAATATTTATTGAATCAGTAACTGGATGAATTAATTTCCTTAGAATAATTGACACTGACTGAAATTTTAAGACTCTACTGAATAATAAAGAGATAACAAGAGGGAAAGAGTGAATATACCAGAAGCCTGAATGGCTGACAAAGTTTGAGTAAAAACAGGTCTTAACATAACCAGTTCACTCCCAAGTCAGGCTCTGGGCCAGTCCACATGCCCTTGTTCACGAAAATATCCTCGAGAGAGAGACAGAGAAGTGGATTTCATGCCACTGCCCACCTAGGGTCTAGCTCTCAGTTCTGTTTACCATCATCAGATGGTTGAAATGGAACCGAGGTGATAGTTTTAGACTTCTTCTTTCTTGTATTTGTCCCAGGTAGCTTCAGAGAAGGACTTCTTACTTTCAGAGAAATCAGGTCCAGGGCGGAAATAACGTAATGGAAATGTATACTGTAATTAAAAAAGGAAGTTTGAAGACGGCATCATAAAATCAGGATTTCTTCTTTTTTTTTCTTTCCAATATGAAATTTCAGAAAACCTAAGGAAAAACAAATGCAAATATTACATATCATAATTTATGGAATCATTTAAGTGATATTCAGAGGAAAATTCTCTCCTTAAATATGTGTATCAATAAAAAAGAGAGAATTAAACTAAATGAATTAAGTGTCTAATTCAGTAAGTTAGAAAAAAATAACAAATAAATCTGAGAAAAGTGGAAGGAAGGGATTAATAATACAAGAGGAGAAATATTGAGTTACAAGACAGAAAATAGTAAAATGAATTAAATATATCCAAGTTCTGATTCTTTGACAAAACCAATAAGAGAGATGATACATTATCTTAATCCAGGGGGAGAAAAGGGAGAATGCAAAAATATACAAAATAAAAGAAATGTTAAAAGGAAACTAAAGATATAGAGGAAATTAAACGAATCACGAGATTGCTTTGTTCAACTCTATGTAAATATATCTGAATACTTAGATGAAATAGATAATGTTCTAGGAAAATATATTTCACCAAAATTGAGTTGGGAAAAGATAAAAAATCATAATAAACCAAGTGCTATAAAAGAAATGGAGAAAGTCATCAAAGAGCTGCCCTCCAAAAGCACCAGCCAGATGGTTTCAAGAGAAATTCTCCCAAATCCTTCAAGAATAAATCATTTCAATGTTATTTAAACTGTTTCAGGCATAGAAAAAGGAGAAAATCTTCCAATTTTTTTTCATAAAGCAAGCGTAATATTAATACCAATCCCCATAAGATTGCACAAAAAAGAAAATCACCTTTCAATCTCACTTATCCTAATGCAAAAACTCCTAAATAAATCCAAGAGCACATTGATAGGAAAATATACCACAACCAATAGGGTCTAGTCCAAGAACATGCGGATGATTTCATAATCAGGATGGCTCAACAGCATGATTTAACACTAGGGCTTCTTTTTTATGGCTGTTGTTTTAAAAAAAATCAAAGA